GGGAAAATCATTCAAAATCCCATCGGCTTCTCTATCCCTATTCGACACAATCAGTGTCATTTTTTGGGTTCCTGTCTATGATCTTCTTATCGTCCCTTTAGCCCGAAAGTACACGGGCAACAAGAATGGCTTCACACAGCTTCAAAGGATAGCAATTGGACTTGTTATCTCCATTTTTGCCATGTTGACAGCAGGAACACTGGAAATGACAAGACTCAGAATTGTCAGTGAGCAAAATTCCTATGATGCAAAACATATGAACATGTCAATATTTTGGCAAGTTCCACAATACTTCATCATAGGATGTGCTGAGGTATTCACATTCATCGGACAACTCGAATTCTTCTACGAGCAGGCACCTGATGCAATGAGAAGTCTGTGTTCAGCCTTGGCGCTCACCACAGCCGCTCTCGGGAATTATTTGAGTACTTTTCTGGTGAATATTGTAACAGATATAAGCACAAGGGACGGGGATCCTGGATGGATACCTGACAATCTGAATTATGGGCACCTGCACTATTTCTTCTGGCTTTTGGCTGTGTCAAGTGTCCTTAATTTAGGGGCATATCTCCTAGTTGCAAAGTGGTATACCTATAAGAGGGCACTAGGTCCTCCTACTGATCATACAATGGCATGATCTCCTGCTGCATCACTTTCTTTTAGCTATGATTCTTCTCAAGTATTTCAATCATCTGATTAAACTGAGTGATACACTTCAATGTTATGATTATCATATTTTGATTCATAAGTGGTAATTTCAGAAAGTGTCATCATGGATTTTCCAGCCAAGACAAAATTGAAATAAATACATTTGTTATTTGCAACAGTTTAAGCTTCGCATGACAAAGATATCGAATTTTCACCCTCCCAACTTTATGAAAAATGTGCACATATTGAGCACTTGATTGAGAAATGAGCCACATTTGCACATGAGAAGCACGCTGAAGACAATATTTGAGTAAATAAAAAAATTAGAGGCTTAGAGTGAAAATTACTCTTGCACTTCTCCAAAAATTTGTGATGAAGATTGCTAACAATCTATACATATATGCACTCCACAAACAAATGCCATAAAAAACTACTTTTGTTATAGTATAATTGATAAATCTTACACGTTTTGTCACTTAAAAGGTTCATATTAATATTGATTCTCAAATTAGGTCATTGTAGAACCTAAGATTAGCGAGGAAAGCTAAAATCATCTTCTATACTCTCACTTGTTTCTAAACACCTCAAACTTCCACTTTGAATAGAGAGGCCATCCAAATCTACACGAAATCTTTGAAGTTTAATGCCATCAACACTCACATTAATGCTTTGAGAGTAATCTTGATCAGTTATCGAAGGATGACTCTGATGTCCTATTGATTGACTAGAAATGCCCTTGAGTCTTTTGGAATCCATCTTACGAGGTTTTTTGAGTAGGAAGTTGTCCATCGAATAGAGATCGTCCTCAAGTTCTTGCCACACCTGAGTCATTGTAGGCCTTTTTTTCGGCTCTTTCATCACACATCTTAAGCCAAGTTGTCCCATTTTCATCATCATTTCCATGTTACATCCTTCTATTAAGAGATTAGCATCCAATATTTCCTCAATGTTGCCTCGTTCAATACTAGGCCTTGCCTGCATAGTTTCGAATAAATAAATTATCCGTCATATTTTAACTATCATAGAAAGCTTAATTTAGTGGTAAAATGAGCACTTCGAACGACAGTTATACGAAAAACGAAATATTTAACTCGATAGTTTTGGCTTACCCAATCAATGATGTGCAAATTGGTATGATTTCTAGTTGACTCAAGTGCAGGTCTAGCAGAAACAAGTTGCAAAAGTATGACCCCAAAGCTATAGACATCCGTAAATGGAGTGAGATGAAAACTTGAACAATAGGCTGGATCAAGATAGCCTGGTGTCCCTTTAACTTGGCTGCTAACATGAGATTGGTCCCCAACCGGGCCTGATCTAACAAGACCAAAATCTGATACTTTGGCCTCAAATTCTTCTCCAATTAGGATGTTGCTTGGTTTTATGTCCCTGTGGATTATGCTTGGATTGACCTCTTCGTGGAGATGAGCTAACCCTAATTTCATTAGAAAGTAATTTTAATGAAAAATGATTTATAGAAAACCGAAAAAAAAAATGCCGGTTAAAGCAGTTTGAGGGGGGCACAGTCAATAAGGAACTTATCACAAGCCCACCCATTTTCACACCACTATTATACCGATCGTACCAATTCTTAAGAAATTTATATTAACAAGATAAGAAGATTCTTCCTTGTTTGAAATTGAACGAATAAATGTTGGGTCTGAATCTTTCTCCAATCAACAAAATGAAACGAATTAGGTCACATGCCGCAAAATTGTCGCTTTGGGAATTGTAACAATTTGTTTAATCGACAAATTGCAAGTATGATCATACAAATTTTCAATTTTATCGTATGATGAGGCTATATCTTCAATGCTTATTACATTCTAAGTAACCGTATTTTTAGTAAAAATTGGCTCCTCGAATGACACTAGCGGGACCTCTAAAATAATCTAAATTTATAAAATCGAAAAAAGGCATGGTTCTCGCTCAGAGTGAGGACTTACCTTTAGCTGCTCCAATGGCTATGTTTACCCTTTGCCTCCAAGTTAAACTTCTCCCTCCCCTTCCTACAACAACACGGCAAAGAGAATATCACAATTACCATGGCTAACTATTATCGGTTAGAAAATTTTCTAAGATAATTTATTTAGAACTTACCAATTATGTAATCAAGTAATGAACCATTAGTCACGTATTCATACACCAGTATTTTTGCTGTCTTTGGCCCTGTTAAAATATAAAAATAAGTGTAGTCGATAATGCACGTGTATTCGTTATAATTATGTGTCATGAACTAAGTAAAAATAATAATAATCATATTCTAGGAGTAATTTGTAAAATAATATATTTATCTCTGTAAAATATTAAACCCTTTTTCGAGGAAATATTTTTCGTGTAATCAAATATTTTCAAGTATTCTATAACTAGAAAATCAAGAGAAATGCATAAAATAAAACTTAAAAGAAAAGGTCAAGTTGACCCATTGAACAGTTGTTTAATTAACTCTATTATGGAAATAAATTCACGTTTATATTTATCTGTTACCTGATTCTTCGCAGAACCCCACGAGTTGAACAAGGTTCCTATGCTTCACTTTTGAAAGCACCCTGACCTCTGCTCAAACAATACACGGCCGAATCAATTTCTCACAGAGGAAATACATTAATAATAGGAGGCGAACTTGTTAAGGTCAAGAGGAATTAAGTGGTTGAGTTGAGACATTCTTTTAAATGTTTTTGATTGGTGTGTTTGTGTGGGAAAATTATTTGAGGTTAAAAATTATATTTTTTTATTTTTGGAAAATGCATGATTAAAAAATAGAAAAATATTGTGGGTCTACGTACAAAATTATGTTATTGAGAGAATGCGTGACTGCATATAACCCCTCTTTGAGCCTATATATATATCACACACACACACATACTTGGAGAATGTGTAACGAAAAAATTGGGGAAAAAATTTGATCTACATGTAAAATTATTTTATAAAAAAATATTTTATTAGAAAATGAGTTTCGAGAGCTCAAACACGGATTGAGAGTTTGAAAAATAATAATTTTCAATAAGTTGTGTTAAACAAACATTATATAAAAGGGTAAATATAACTTGTGGTATAGTTGCTAAAGATTTATGATCTATTATCTTCCAATAAATCTAAGAATTAATTGCATGAAGTGGCAGAAATTTATTGAGAGAGAAAAACCCACTTTGTTTTTTATTGTTCTTGGGTGGTTGTGCTTGTTTTATCTTTAACATGCTCCCAGCGTAAAGATGACATAATTATTATTTTAAAGGAGTGATTCGACACAAGAAATTTCAATAAATGAGTGATTGCAAGACTTGAATTCATATAGTTTTTTTGTTCTTATACTCTATTAAATGATTTATGATATGTTATGACAGTTCGAAAGTTAGAGATTCAAAAAAATTATTTATTTATTTATTACTTACCATTTCTAAATTCTTCTGTGCTTGTATATGATTCAGCATTGGGCTTCTTGATTGCTAGGGTCCCCTCTACATCAAATGTACCAAGATAAACATTTCCAAATGCACCAGAACCAACTAAGCAATCTTGGCTGAAATTTCTGGTTGCCTTTTGCAGATCTTCGAACCGAAATTGCCTTAACTTCATTTTTTCTGCATTCAGTTCTCCTGCAGATATTTCAAAACTCTATTAGGACTCGAATATATATATATATATATATATTTTTAATTCAGTAACTAATGAAACATGATAATTGAGTGATGGAGTACATGTTAAAGTTCGATAATCAGTCAAAAGCCATTTTATGTTCAATGAATAGAGCGTAACAAAATTATAAGTTTAGTGACTATTGAAACATTTAACTTAAATCTATACAAACCTCCGACCATCCATCTTGTCACCCTGCTACGCGATGTTTAGGTGAATTCTATATGAAAATTCTTAAGTTGTGCCTATTTGAGCTCCACTGGCTCGCGACCCACTTTGGCCATATGCAACTAATGTCTATATTTTTGGTTGTCGGGCTTAAATCGATAATGTGGCATAGGCTAAGTTTATGAGTTCTATCGAGCCATGGAATCTCTCATATCCCAAACATGACTCATAGCGATGAAAAGTGGCTCGCATAACCCAATTTTCACCCCTAACTAGACTACCCACCTTGTTGATAAAAAATGAAGCAAGTGTAACATTGATAAAGATTTCGAAATGTTTTATATGCTTGATTAATTTTTGACATTATACCAAAGTCTAACAGATTGACAAACCTTTTTGCTTCACACACAATCTGAACAAATTTGTGTAGAGCTTCCTTCTATAACAAAAATATATCCAACCACCAACAAAGAGTACAATTATGGCAATAAGAACTCCTCCCCATAAATATACATTATTAAAGGCTGAAGAACCACTGATTCCCATTCTTGAAGGTGCAGAATCTGGTGAAAATGCATATCGATTTGCCATTATACTTAACCGAGAAATTAAACTCCTCAACTTCAACCCTCAGTTTCCATACTATATTTTCTCTTTTGAATGAAATTTAACTTAACAAAAAGGGGAAGAAAAAGCAGTTTTTTGACTGCAAAAATGGCGCTTTATTCTCATAAAATTGATGCTTTTGGCCGGCCATCTACATATATTTATATACTGTCTTTGTTGCTATGGACTTGGTCTTTCTGTAGACGGCACAAATGGCCAACATGTGTCCTTTATATGAAACTATTCTTCTAATAATTCATGAGTAAAAAAATAAAGGAATCTACTACTTCATGCAATTATGCAACAAAAAAGAACAAAAAATTGCATGCATTTCTGAGTCAACATTTTCTTCAAGTAAAGAGTGAAACAAATCTCTCTCTCTCTCTCTCTCTCTCTCTCTCTCTCTCTCTCTCTCT